GTACTCATCGGCAGAATCCTCCCCTAGTTTATGTTAGGCAATCTATTTGAAGTAAATGAGCCTGGACTGTCATAACTCAAGGCAGAATTTAGTCATTCAGGGGCAGCCAACCCATTCTGCCATTCACACCGCCACAATCAAAGCTATTTTGAATACATCTTCTCAAGCTAAGAAACATATCCGTACCTCAAAATATAGACGTACTCATCGGCAGAATCCTCCCCTAGTTTATGTTAGGCAATCTATTTGAAGTAAATGAGCCTGGACTGTCATAACTCAAGGCAGAATTTAGTCCATCTTGTTTATAATTTGGGGGGGCTAATTTGGCTTAGTGAGGACTATTGGTTTCCCATTTATATTCACATTAAATTTTTAGTCCTTTTTAGCAACATTTTTTCTAGAAAACATCTATCATGTATGAAAATTGCTATAGTGATCCTGTATTACACATTTTCATAATCTTTTGTAATCATTACAAAAGTGATTTATAGATTATATTTCTGATGAGTCACCCGTCTTGCCTCTTTTAAAGGTACATTTTCTTTCTTGACAATTCCTACTGCTTTTTTTCTGTGACCCATGTCCAACTTTTTATGACTATTGCTAATAATTAGAGCAGCTTATTTTTCAGCAATGTAAATCTCTTACTAGAGGTTTTGAGTACTATCACTAAAATAATGATGTTGTACTATTTGTGCCATTACAAGAATTAAGTGTTGTTTAACATATGGTAATTTTTTATTATTACTCACAAAAATATTGTAATGAACCATTTGCGGTACAAAAAAAATGTTACCCTGTGAAAAGAAGAAATCTGGCAGTGAAACAAGCAGTTGAAAGAAATCTGAAAATAATGGTTACCCTGTTACCACAGAGTGCGCTGAGAAGAATTAAAGGAACATTGCATTTGTAAATCCATTACAGAGCACTGGTTATTAACTAGATAGGGGGTAAAGCAATAATTTCCTCTTTAAAAATGCATTTGTTTTATTATTTCTATCATCTGGATATGTCAGTAAACTGCATTGTCATAAAAAGAGAGGACATAATTTGGAAAATAATGCACCTTGACATGAATGAATTGAGAAAGTTTTATGATTGGCATTAATGAGTTCAGGCTTATGCTTCTAAGATGTGCTCATTGTAAAGTCTTGGAGACTGAGTCCGATCTCATTTAAATGCAGTAGAGATAGTCCAAGTTTACACCAATGTAAGTAGGCACAGAATATATCCCCGTCACTCATAAAATATTACATGTAATAATCAACTGGAAATTGTTGAAAATGTACATCAGGCAAGATACAACTGAAAGTGATGTCTTTACCATATATAGACACTGTATGTATTTTATATATTGTATGTGTGTATAATGTGTCTGCACAACGTGTGTATGTATGCTATCTATGTAATTCTCTGCAGCTCAGAGTTTAGTGTTATCTTAATTACTTACAGTGTATTGAGATTAGAGTGACAAGGTTCCTTTTGTGTTAAGCAAGAGCTCACATTCCTGACAGATGAGCTACTCTCCTCTTTGCCTCTAGATGATCACAGGAAACATTCTTAAAAACAAAACAACACACAAAAAAAGTTTGTAACTTTTGGCTGACCTAATTGTGCAGTGGCAGAGCATTTTACTGCCTAGGCTGGGCAGCTCTGTGTTATAAGACACATTTGGGCTTTCCAGACTCTGAACCTGGTAAGTGAGACAGTGTGCTGTGTGTTGCTGGACATCATGCAATTCCACTTACAAAAGACAACAGGGGTGGAGTTGCATGGGCCCACGGCACCCAGGCGCCAGGAATATTCCGGGCCTTGCTGGCCTGACTCCACCAATGTTCTACAGAGCAGTCTTTGGGCTGAGAGTCCTGGGCTTAGGGGTTTGTGAGGAGGGTTAAGGTGGAGGGCACTGTGGTTCTCAATCTGTGGCCAATGATAAATAGGTTGAGAACCACTCTTCTACATTACATTTCACTGGTACAGCCCAAATGAATTTAGTGGAAAAACCTAGATGTCACAGAGAGCAGAGTTTGGCCCTGTTGAGTATCATTAGGAAAGACAACCTTCCAGAGTGCAGCATTATTTCAGCAATGTTAATTTATCTGTAATAATTATCTGTGGACCAAATCCTGAAGTTCTTACTCAGTCTTGAATAGTGACTTGAGTAGCAGTTTCTACTGAGTAAGGACTCAGGACTGGGCTGTATGTTTGCTGTTTTGTTGAAAGTGGTGTGATAGGGCCTTGCACTTTGAGGGGGGGGCTTCCCCTTCAGGGAGCCATGGAGTTTAGGTAGCATGGGGCCCAGCAACAGTACTACTGGCCTTGCTTTGCTCTGCTTTACTCTGCTATGCTCTGCCTCACCCGCTCCCAGCATTGCTCAGGATAGGAGAGGGCAGCAGCTTGGGGGAAGAGGCAAAATGGGAGTGTGCCAGGGATTTGGGAAAGAGGAGGAGTGGGAGCAAGGTCTGTACTAGGACAGAGGGGATGTTTGTCCTGGGCCCTGCCTGCCTGCCACCCCAACTCCCACCCCCACCAGAGATGGCCATGATAAGAGGAAGGAAAGAACAGGGGTTTTTTTTCTACTTCAATCATAGCCTTACTCCTTCCGTGTGGAATAAGAAGATACCATTTTACACTGTCCGTTTTCAGAGTAGAACTGCAGTTTAATAACTATGGGGAAGTCCTCACATTGACTTATGTGACTACAGGAATCTAAGGCTTATACACTGGTTGCAATTCTCATTTCGGCCTAGGGCTTTGGGGAGGGTTATTTAGTTTGTTTTTTAGTGGATGGGTCGGTGCTCTGGAGATCTCAAGACATTTTCCTGTAACTAGGCAACCTGCTGTCTGGCATATGACATTGGCCAGTAGAGAGGTCAGACCCTGTCCTCCACATCAGGAGACATTTGCTGGGAGGAGGAAAAGGTGGGGTTTCTAGGAGACACAGAAGAGGAAACGGAGAATTCCACAGGCAGACACACAATTGTGCTAGAGCCACAAACTGAGCATGCACAGCTCTGGCAGCTGCAGATCAGATTTATTTATGGCATGTTCATGGCAACACATGTAGGCATTTTATTGTCACATACAAAACTTCATGCATCAAGGTATATTGCATTGTGCATTCCTTCTAAACCAAAGTCCATTCTGTGTGCTTCGTTCTTTAAACTGATTTCTTACTTCATAATAATGTATCCCACCGTGTTCTTTCTTATCTTACTATCTCTTTAACAATGTATTTTTTTAGTGTAACTGAAAACCAAGCAGCCCAAACAGTATGATGGTGTTTGTTTATTCCTGGTCATGTTATCCTTTTTCAGTATTGGAGATTATAGAGCGTGGTTATTCTCAGATCTCTGCATATGTTGATGCTCTTCTAACCACTTTCCTATACTGTGACCATATCATAATCAATTTACTGCCACTTATTCTTTACAAATAAATAAGAAACAGGATTTTTAACTAGGATAATATCTTTGATTAAATGTGAAAAACAAGAGTTAGCATCATAGAAAATAAGATTAAAGAAATAGAGTAGCATCCTGCCTAACTTGACAGCAAAGATTTTGCAACATTCTCAGTCATATATATTGATGCTTTGACAGCACATAACTTTAACTGTGATTGGTAACCCTTTCAATTTGTTTGTGTCTGCTGTCAGAAATCAATTTCAGTATTTAATGGCATTATGCAGACTCAGCCAAGGAGAATTTTGCATGGATTTAATTTAAATGTTTGAAGCTTCATTGCTAAGATATACATTTTAAAAATAAATATTTTATTTAAAGCTCCATTTCTATGATACATCTCTTTTTTTCTTAATCAAAGTGGTCTTCAATTGACTAATAGATTTAAAAACCCTAAGGAATAAAATATGACAGCTCAAAATGTGACAAAACAGATGAAATAGTTGTTCATATCCCTATTACTGATTTGCAGATTCATGTATTATTTCTGAAGTCTTAGGCTCTGATCATACAAATCTTAAGTGTGTGCTTGATCTTACCCAGCATTGTAGATTTAGTGATACTAGTGGGAGTATTCAAATGTTAAGTTCAGCAACAATCATAAGTGTTGATAGGATCAGGTCAGAGCAGCCATTTTTATCTAATTTCTCACTTCCTCCGTTTTACCAAGGCTGCAGAAAAAGAACTGATTGTTCTCATAATTACAAAATAAAAATGTAAACATAATATTAATTCCTTTCATTGAAAAAAATGTTTTTGGACTCAGACCTACTTCCAGTCCACCATCAAAACTGTTGACATTAGTGAGAGATCCCTATACATGAATAAATTACAGAATGGAGCCCAAATAAACCTGGGGGCGGGGGATCAAACGTTGTATGGTTGCCTTAAAGAAATGAAAAAGCACAGAAAATGAATTGAAATACTGTGTTTAAGACTCATCACTTGTATTTTTTTATCTTTTTACAAGATTGAAGTTTGACTTGCAAAAGGAGAAATACTGGGTATATTCCCTGTTTTTGCTGCTTTATAATGTTTATAGATATGAAATACTGGGATTTTCTGTTCTTAACAATACCTCGCTCTTATATAGTTCTCTAAGTTAAAGATTAAAAACAACTCTGCCCTTTGTTTGAAGGAACAGAAAATCTACACTCCTATAATGCTCGAATAAGTTCTTCAAAGTAAACAGAGACAGACCTGAGTTTGCTAAAGGAAAAATGATAAGGAAAAAAATTGCGGAGGAATATACAAGAAGAGAACCATCTCTCAGGAAGCAAAGATGGGCAAACCCCTGAATTTTTCCCCTTTTGCAGGTCATCTTTGTCAAACGTCTGCTGTTTTTGATGGCATTTCCATTCATTTCCAATCAAACTAGTACATATATATATCAAATGTGAAAACCAGGACCCATTGAAGTCAGTGACAAAACTCGCATAAACCTCAGTGGATCTAGGATTTCACCCTATGTGTTTTCAAGTTATCCAAGCATAAGCAGCGATTTTTAGCTAACTATCTTTACTGTATTTCATTCAGAGAGTCTGCAGCTCGCACATGATAACATTTATGTTGTGGATGATATGGTTTTGGATCTAGCAGAGGTAGAGGAGACAACATCAGTAAGTAGCTGTTTTGCGTCAGAAGACACCACTGAAGACTCAGGTGTTGTGAGCTCTCCATCTGATATTGTATCATTGGATTCACAAAATGACAATATGAAACTGAAAGACAAGTCAGTCAATGGTCTGGAGGACCCTGCTGAAGTGGATGTAACTTATGCCTCAGAGTTGTGCTCTGTGAGGAATACCTCCTGCGACAGCAACGATTCTGAAAAAGCTCAACACAGGTGAGTTCCACTTTTAAAACAATCTAAAAAAAACCCTCACTTGCCCTTCTTATAGGAAAGCATTTAACAAAGCCAGCTTCTACTTGTTATTATTTTGTAACCCAATGCCAAATAAACATCTAAGGGCTCATTGAAATGAAAAAGTTTAGTGCCAAAATGCCCTGAGAGCGTGTGCCTATAGCAACTGGTAGAAGTAATTTTTTTGTTTTAATTTGTAATTTCTTGCAAAATTCTGCTGTTCTTCGGAGCTAATTTCTCCATAAAGTTTAACATAATTTGGTATCATAGTTTGGTTAATCCTGCAGGAGTGAAGACTTTTGTATGGGGTGAGGGGGTGTGATTTTATTGCAGATCAACATGTCTACAATAATACTGCCAACCAAGGAAAACATTTTTAAATATTTTTATTCGGTTTCTTCAGCCAGATATCACAGTGCTCAGCTGGTACGTAAGAACCTGGAAACAGACTACAAACATAAGCAAAACTGACTTTCTTGTTTATTCGCCAATAAGTCAGTGAGAGAATGGAAAAGAAGTTCTTAGTGCTCTGCAGAGGCAAATTGGAAATCAGTGGCAGTTATGACACCATATGTTGCCACTGCAAGGAGGGTGGTCCAAGGTAGCATACAGAAAGGCACCCTACTCTGTGTATTGCTGCAAGATTGAAATGAGGGAGGGGCCTGTTATTCCTTATCCGTCACAAAGCCCATGCTCCCTCTATTAAGTATCTAAATCTATTGTACCTTCAAAAGTGTATGTATCATTGATCTAATATCTTTCCACACATTTCTGAGGGAAACCTTTATTTGTAATTAAGTAGAGGATTAAATTAGGGTTGCCAGCTTTCTAATGCCAGAACACCAAACACCTTTGCCTCCATCCACTGTATGTCCCTCTCCTGACCCCACTAAGGTTAGGAGGTGGACATCCTAGCTCAGCTACTTCCCCACAGGTTGTGCAGCAGCTAGTACGGAGCCTTTCAGCTCTGCTGCAGCTGCAAACCAGACATTCAATGGCCCAGTCAGCAGTGCTGACCAGGGCCTTCAGGATTCCTTTTTGACTGGGTGTTCCAGTCCAAAACTGGACACTTGATGTACAGTCAGTGTGCAATCACCATAGGTCCCTTGATAACTTTTTTATGGAGGATGACATATACTAGCATAATATGATTAGCTCTAATGGCTTGATCCAAAGGCCATTGAAATCAGTGGAAAGACTCAGAGGGTATGTCTACACTAGCTCGTTAGTTCGAGCTAGGTAGGCAAATGAGGGCAGCCGGCGTTGCAAATGAAGCCCGGGATTTAAATCATTTGCATGTTCCCGGGCGCCGCCATTTTTAAATCTCCCTTAGTCCGAACTCCGTGCCCACAGTTACACGCGGCATGGAGTAGGTAGTTCGTGGAACGATGTGTACCGGTAGTTCGAATTAGAGGTCCTATCCGTGCCCCGGTTGCCCTCATTTGCCTACCTAGCTCGAACTAACGAGCTAGTGTAGACATACCCTTACTGATTTCAGTAGACCTTACCTTCACCTGAAACTGCAAGGCCCAAACTGGTTAGATAAAATATGCATGGTCAGGACATTGTATACACTGCCCAAAAGTAACTACAGTCTTCACTATCACAAGCATTTCTTACACATCCCCAAATTTCATATCATAATTGTGAATATGAGGGACAGGATACATACCCCACAACGTAGGCCAGTAATATGGCATTCCTAATCAATGCCAAGTATATTGCTGCATTTGGTGACACATTTCATGCTTCCCAAGAAGTGAAAAACCTATCACATGCCATGAGAATGGCATACCACCACTAAAAAGTCAACATCTGCCTTACCTTTTGCTTCACTGCAAGGCAAAAACATCCTAGATTTGCCTCTCATCCACATAAACATGGCAATAAAGTTGATTATATTAGGAAATATTACATGTATGCAAAAAATCTAAGTTATGGATTTTGTTGGAAATTCCATTTTAAATTTCCTATCCTGTCCATATAAAAAATCTCAGTCCTCATGTTGAATTACCAGAATGTGATTGGTTTTTAAATGATACTTTGGGGGCTCAGGGAATTAATTCTCTTCCAGTGAGTATGAAATCACTTCAGCTTAGGGTTGTAAAAGGTTAATAGGCTAACTGGTAAGCCTCACCCTTAACCTGCCACAGGTTACACACTGACTTCCCGGGAGCAGGCTGCAAAGCATACAACAAAGCCTCCCTGGGAGCAAAACGCCTTCAAAGCGGCAGCAAGGCCTCCTCCCTGGCAGCAGCCCCTTCCGGTCCCATTCCTGGGGAGGTGGCTTTACTGCGGGCTTTGCAGTATAAAGCTTATTTAAGATATATACTGCAGAGCCTGCAGTGTGTGTAACTGTACAACCATTATGATTTTTAGTGGTTACATTGTTAGCCCCATTTTCACATCCCTACTTCAGATCTACTTTAGGACCCTATGGAATCCTGAAACCTGTAACTGGTTTCTGTATTACAGCAACAACAGCTATGCTGCTGACAGCAAAACCTCTGAAACTGAGGTGTTCTCTCCTTCAGTGTGTAAATTCCAACTTCACTCTTAACCTGTTTATAAATAAACCAGTATTGAAAACAATGCCATTTTTACTTCCCTGGAGATCAACTCCATAAGTCTTCAAAAAAAAAAAAACCCTTCTTAGGAGAAAAGATAAATGTTTATTTATTTGTAAAATATCTGTTTGTATGAAAATCTTAGATTCATTATCTGGTTTTGAGTCAATTTTGAACCCGGCAGGAAAAATTGGAGCATGCTATTTTCAAAGCTCCAGTGCTTATGACTTTGGGATTTTATGTAGGTCCTCAAATGGGCAGGAACTCTAGAAATGGGCCTTCTATGACATCCCCTCTTCTATATCTGGGAGATGGATTCCCAGCGAAATCAAAGTAGAGTTTTGTATGAACCATTGACAGTAAGCTATACTTTCCTATATTTATGTTCCTTATTTATTTTCCTTAAGCATTGGTGCTCCAATAGAAAACTGTGCTTGAAGTTCATGAAACCTGGCTCAAGATTAAAATAAAATAAACTGGCAAGCATTAATTCCTATAAAGGACAAGTAATATGTTGTGTAAAATGCCATTGTTTTGGTTCACTTTAATAATCCAGGAGCCAGTTAATTTTGTGTTATATGAAAGTGCACCAGTGAGCCAGAATGGGCCAAACACATCTGTGGTTCTGAGCTCCGTTGAGCCAGTGCTGTTGCACCACAGACTAATTTGGCCCAATAGTTGAAAACTAATTGTAAAGGCTGTTACAGAAGATGCTAAACATTTGTGTTATTTTTATTAATCATTATAAAATTGACTAAACACTAGGCTTTAGTTACATGACAAAATAAATAATTTCTAGGCAAACACAAGTATTACAGATAGAAAAGGCCTGAGTCTCATTTATACTGGATTTATTTTTTACTATTCTGGCTGTGGGAGTAAATTACATACTCACTCACTTTAAAGTGTGAAGATAATGGTATATCCGAGAACAGAGCTATGCTTGCAAACACATACAAGTCTACTGCATGATTTTCCCTTTGACTGCACACATGGTTTTCACTGACTTACATAGCATTTGATGAGCAGTCTCTGACTGTAATTCTCTCCTGTGATTTTGAAAGGCTGGCATGCATTTCAGTTGCACTTTCTCAGAGTTTAGTCACATATTTCTGATTTAAAATCCTGCTGCACTGCCAGTGCAATAAAGAACCTATGAGTAAAGAAAAATCCAGTCTAAAGTGTTTACATAGGCTAATGAGTCCCACATAAGGCTTAGCTCATGCTCCAGGAGGTATTCTGTGATGCTGTCTACTTTTGGCAAATTATATTTTTAATTCATTTTGTTAAAGCTTCCAAAAGCCTTCAGGCATGGGTGGCTTTATAAATTAAAATACTTTTATTATTTATTATCATAAGGATATGTGACTAAACTCTGAGAGAGTGCAACTGAAATGCATGCCAGCCTTTGAAAATCACAAAAGAGAATTATAGTCAGAGACTCTTCATCAAATGCTATGTAAGTCAGTGAAACCATGTGTGAATTGAAAGGCATGCAGTAGACTTGTATGTGTTGGCAAGCATAAATTTATGCATGGATATGCAATGACACATGTACCACTACCTGCTTTCAGAAATGAGAATGACTATAGTATTTATACTTCCAGTACAATTTTCTCAAGTAGGGGGTACTTTCTTCCCATAATATGCAAGACAGGGAGACTTTCAGAGAGCTATTCTGTGCTCTGCCATCAACATGTCTTTGGGCAAGTCACTTCACATTTCTGTACCTCTGTTTTCTCTCACCACTTGTCTATTTTCATTGTAAGCTCTTGGTACAAGGGCAGTTTCTTGCTATGGGTATGTCTACATTGAAGCTGATGTGTGTAATTCCCAGCTCGCATAGACATACCTATGCTAGCTCTGCTTGAGCTAGTATACTTACAATAGGATTGTAGCATGAGTGCCAGCTTAGGCTAGCCAACCGAGTACATTCTTGTGGGGGTCTAGACATTGTATGCAGCTAGTTAGCCCAACCTGTTACCCATTCTACCCTGACCTCACTGCTATTTGTAGATTGCATTTCAAGCAGAGCTGGCGAGGTACGTTTGTGACAGTGTTTGCACAGTATCTAGCATAATGGACTCCTGATCTCCACTGAGGGCCTTAGGGGCTGCCATAATAGGAAAATATATTATAATCAACATTAAGCATTGACCCTGAACACCCTTCAGCATTTTGGTTACCGTCTCCTCTCATACCTGCTCACACAATTTTAATATATAGTATTAAATTAATAATAGGCAAGCCTCAAAGAAGTTAAAATGTTGCATACATAGCAATAAACACATCTCGTGATCTCTCACAGTTATAACTCCTGTCCTCCCACAACCTCCTCTTTTCCCATCCTTTGTTTGGTGTCTACATGCCAGCTGCATGGGGCCAGGATTGGTCAGTGTTATATGCCTACAAAGC